GAGCCACAGCGCCACTTCCAGCTTTTTTCATTTGCTTATGTGGTGCTGAGGAATCGAACCCAGGGCCTCATGCATGCAAGGCAAGCGCTCTACCACTGAGCCACCTTCCCAGCCCTCTTTCTTGCCTTTCTGTCTGTCTCTCTTGTCTCTGTCACTCTTTTCCCTCTGTATCTGTCTGTCTCTCCTTTCTGTCTGTCTCTCCTCCCTGTCTCTGGCTCTGTCTGTCTGTCTCAGCCACACCGAACACCTTGCTCTCCTGCAGGTTCTGGTCAGCGAAGTTGGCGAAGACGTCAACATTCAACAGCTCCTGTGGTCGCCCGGGGCCTGGCGGGGCCGGGCCCAGCAGATTCTTGTTCTGCAGGGCAAGGTGAGCAGCTGGCCAGCAGGGCTTGCTCTGTGTGTATGTGTGGGGGGGGGGCGGGTAGAAAACCTGCAGAACACATAGCAGACACAGCGGCTCCACAGTATCTCCCCAGCCTAGCCTGCTTCTAATTTGCTCACTTCACGAGCACACACACATGTCACGCCCACCCCACGCCAGGCCACGGAAACAATGCCAAGGTCTTTGATTGGAATTCCTCCCCACACCCCACCCCACCCCCAACAAGTTTATGGAAATCTGCGAGTCTGTTTGTAATTGGATTCTTCTCCCTCTCTCCACCCCCTGCTCCGCTAGTTTGGTCCAGAGGCTTGGAATCTTTTGGAAGTTTTCATGAGCCAGTGAAACTTAGCCTCTCTCTCTCTCTTTCTCTCTCTCTCTCTCTCCTAAATGTTTTGAGACATACAAGCAGCAGCTACGGGCAAGGAGGAGGCCCAGAAAGAGGGGACTGCTCACATTCAAACCCCAGCCCTCCCTCTCTTCCTCCCTCTTCCTGCTCTGCGAACCCCGGGCACCCCGCGGCCTCTCCAGGCCTCAGTCTTCCTACCTGTGAATGGGGAGAATTGTCAGCATGCATGAAGCAGCCGGCAGTGCTAGAGCCCCACCCCCTCCTGCCCTTCAGCAGGAAAAACGTGCGAGAATGGGCGTGATTTATTATTATTATTATTGCTATAATACTATTTACTTTCACCCCCTGGAACTTTGGGGTCATCATTTCTGATGGCCTTCATTCTTGGGGGGGGGTCTACCATGAGATCCTGGAAATCAACAGCAATGGCAGCTCCGGGTAGAGGGTGGGAATTAAAAAACAAAAAGAATTGTCAGTGTTTACTGGCATGAACTCCACTGAGTTCACTTGAGCTGTGGCTCAAGCGGAAGAGCACCAGTCCTGAGCAAAAATAAAAATAAAAAAAGCTGCCGGGCGCCAGTGGCTCACGCCTGTCATCCTAGCTACTCAGGAGGCTGAGATCTGAGGATCACGGTTCAAAGCCAGCCCAGGCAGGAA